TGTGTTTGTGTCTGTGTCTGTCTGTGTGTGTGTGTCTGTGTGTGTGTGCTACAGTACCACAGTGTATGGGAGGAGGAGGTTACTATAAGATTACAACCTTGTAGATCATTGTTTTCTGTCTTCCAGCGTGAGACAGGCTCTCTTGTTTGCCTCTGCATACTCCTCCAGGCTACCTGGCCTGCAAACTTCTGGGGATTCTCCTGCCTCTGCCTCTCATCTCCCAGTTTGAGGACTGCAATCACAGATTTCCATGGTCACATCTGAATTTATATGAGTTCCAGGGATCAGAACTCAGGTCTCTACATTCACAAAATAAACACTTTACCTACTGATCTGTCTCCCTAGAACCCAGGTCACTTTTATTAGGGCACTAACTCCACTCCTGAGGGCTTCACCTTCTTGACCTGATCATGTCTCAACCTTGCTCCTGAAACCATCACATTGGAGATTCAGTTTCAGCATGCCAAATCGGGGAGCACACAGACACTGAGTCCATATCCAGAAAAGGTGAGAAAATTAAATGAACCACAAAGCTCCAACATTCAAATAAAAGACATGGAAGAGAGAGGCAACTGAAAACATAAAAGCATTTGGGAATTCAATCAAGGGACTTTCCATAGTTAGAACACAGGTGTTTCCTGGGTTGAAATGGTCTGTTGAATAGCCAGCCAAAAGTCAGTGACATATATTTCATATTGACTGAATATGTCGAAACAAGAAAGATAGTTAGGGTACCCTAGAATCTTTTTGGAGTGATGTGGTCAGAGAGGTGTGAAGAGATACGTAGAAAGGTATACTGGGAGGGCTGGCTTGAGAATGGTCCCATAGGCTCATGTGATTGAACACTTGGTCCCCAATGGGTGGCGCTGTTTGCAGAGGTTAGGGTACAATTAGGAAGTGAGTCATGCTTGAGGAAGTCCACTGGTGACAAGCTGTGAAGAGTTTACAGCCTAAACACTCTCCAGTGCGTTCTCTGCTTTGTATTCGCAGTTCTGCTTTTAAAAGACAGCATACTTGTCTTGATTTGGGTTTTAGTGCTGTGAAGAGACACCGTGACTTTTATTAGGCAACTCCTATAAAAGACAACGTTTAATTGGGGCTGGCTGACAGGTTCAGAGGTTCAGTCCAGCATCATCATGGTGGGAAACGTGGTAGTGTGTAGACAGACTTGGTGTTAGAGGAGCTGAGAGTTCTACATCCTGAACCTAAGGCCACCAGGAGAAGACCGACTCTACTGCACTGGACAGGGCTTGAGCTCAAGGGTCCCTCTAGGCCCACCCACACAGTGACACACTTCTGCCAAGAAGGACATATCTCCTAATAGTAGCACTTCCCATAGGCCAAACATATCCAAACCACCACAATACTTTTATAAAAATAATTTTTTTCAGGGCTAGGGAAATGACTCAGGGACCAAGGGCACTTATTGCTTCCCAAGGATCCAAGTGTGAGCCCCAGCATTCACATTTGGTGGCTCACAACGACTTATACTGCAGTTTTAGGGAATCCAACACCTGGAGGTCTGCCTCCACATGGCGCACATAAATTTATCGAGGCATACATACATATGCATGAATAAAAATAAATAAACAACTTAAAATTGTTTTTCGAAAGCTAATGAGAAGCCAGGGATGGCAGCACATGCCTAAAGTCCTAGCACTCAGGACACTGAGACAGGAAGGTCCTTTATTCCAGATCAGCTTGGGTTACAGAGCAAGATCCCACCTCAAACAAGCAATAGAAGAAGAATTTCAAGAGTCCCTAGAACTATGAACATTCTTTGCCTCTGTACCAAAAGGCAACAAGCACTTACTTGTTCATAAAGGTCACTGTGGTATCTGAGATTCATCAATGGATCCATATTTTCCTCAAAAGATATTTTGAAGAACTAGGAATTGTCAGGCTCACTGTAGGAGCTAAAAATTTTGCAAAATTCTGGGGCTGGAGAGATGGTTCAGTGGTTAGAACACGTGCTGACACATCCTCTTACAGAGGGCCTGGGCTCTCCTCTCAGAACCCTAGAACCCACTTGGTGGTTCACAGCCATCTGTAACTCCAGGTACAGGGGATTCAATGCCCTTTTCTGGCCTTTATAGTTACCACACTTATATGATTTATATGCACACATACACATACACATAAAATAAATAATAATATATCTAAAAAAGCTTCCCAGAATACAATTTTCAACAGAAAATACAGTTTTATGGCAGGCAAGAATATTGCTAGTTGTTTACTTCAAACTGACTAGACTATGAGGTACATTTACTAAACATACTAGCTAACTACCCACCTCCAAAGGGTGACAGTTAACTAGTAATCCTTCCTGGGAAATGAGTGTAGCTAGACCCACAGGAGAAGCCATCACATACCCATACCTGCCGGTAGCTGCTCATGGTGCTTTGATGAGCAGCAGAGGAATCCTCAAAATTATTCTTATATTGTTCCACAAAATAGTTTTTAATCATAAAGGAAGTTTTAAGGGAAATTAACTTTGGTTTGGGTTTGAGCTTTTTGTTTGGGTTTTTATTGTTTGTTTCTTTGTTTCTTTGTTTGGGGGCTAGGATCCCATGGAGCCTAGCTTTGTGATGGAGGATGACCTTGAATTTTTATTTCCCTGCCTCTGTCTCCCATGTGCTGGTATTACAGCTGTGTGCCACCACATGGCTATGTTTTTATGCAGTAGTAGAAGTTGAACCCAGGGCTTAGTGCATGTGGGATAAGCACTCTATCAACTAAGCTACACCCCACCCCCAGCTCAGTCAGTCTTAAAACAACAATGAAAACAAACCAGCAATGGTCAGGTGGCCGAGAGCATGAGCCCTTCATTTGTGCATTGCTCCATTCACACTAAGCTACCAACAATTTTTGGCCTTTTCCCAACTTATGCACCATCTACCATGCAAATGCCATTTTAAATACAAAACATAAATACAAATACATAAATATGTAAGTGCTTTGACCTCACATATATCCTAAAAGAGTACTAGAGACACCCAGAGACTCGACACCACTATCCTAGGACACCAATGGAATAAAACAGGTCTGTTTCTATTCTGTGCAGCAAGAAGGAAAACAGGTCCACAGCACCCTCAGAAGAAATGAGGAAATTCTATCATTCTGCAGCTCAGATGAGGAATTCCCTTTTGAAAGGGTTGCTCCTGAGTGCATGAATTCTTTATAATGACGTAAGAGTCAGAATTAATATCACAAGCCAAATAGATTATCGGGCTGTCAGCTCCAGCTCTGGTGTGGAAGTTTTCAGCTGCATCTGTAAGCTCCTTGCACACTCTCCTCTGCTCTCTCACTAAGATCGAGATGAGGAATCAAGTTCTCACACTCAGGAGTGAAAACGTGGCCGGGCCTCACTCAGTCAGCAGGTAGCCTGGAAGCCTGGAGCAGAAGCCGGGCTTGGGGCCTAGATGCACAGGGTTATGTGGCTGGATCATTGGTTTTGCCAAGCTGGATTCAGATTTACATTTGGTCATTTTTTACCTGTGGGACCTTGGTTAGTGCACTTTGACCTTTCTCATTTCTTTATCTATGAACATCAATTATAGCCATCCTCAGGAAGCACGAAATGAAACAATGAAGGTCAAAATACCGACTCTGACTCTGTAATTACACTAATATTATCCGCTACTGAAAGCCTACATGACAGGTTAATTTGTAGCAGAAGTCAAGGCCTGTAGTACACGAACATGTACTGATGTATGTTGACAGTGTCTACAATGTGATACGACACACAGCTCTAAAAACAGTGTATGGGCAAAGCTTATGCACAGACCTGGTCCTCAAGGAGCTGTGAAGAGTCAGCCAGAGAAGAAGGCCGGGTAATAATTGGAGTACCGGACCACAGACCTGGGAAGAGAGAGGCCCTACGTCCATCATAAAGCTTGCGGTGTCTCATCTTCTTTCCACTCAGGGATGATGCTCAGGAAAGCCAGATAAATGCCGAGCTGCCAGAAGCTGCAGACCCCACAGCCACCTTCCCATGAGTCTGAAATGTTCTCCTCCACCACCGAGACTCTCCACGAAAGCCCTGTGCCCTGCACACTTCACCCTAAATGAGATAAAGAACAGCTGGCACGAGAGAACACACCACAGGGTTATCCTACAAAGCGGATTTCCTGAGTCTCCTGCGCGTGGAATGCTGGCATTCAACCCACTGGGTTCCCACAGAGGACAGGACTGAGCTGTGAGGGTGAAGACTTTCCCAAGCCAACATCCAAGGCCTGATGCTAGCTGACTTCATCTCATTTCTATGCCATCACAAGGAAGGCGATGACTTCCTGAGAGAGATTCAGCCAATGATAGGGCTACTCTCTGTGAGCACCCGTACACTCTGGGGATTGTAACTGTGACATCCCTCATACCCTCCCAGAAGGAGCAAAGAAAACAGCTCCCTGCACTATGCTGAGGAAGAAAGCTGGGCTCCTTGCAAATGCTACACCAATGTGACTTTTGCTTGCAGAATAAGATGAAACAGCCACTTAGGGATAAGCGACACAGTTTTGAAGTTAGCTGTGCCTTGGTCCCCACATCTGCTGAACAGGAGTAATTAAGGTGGAAGAAAACCCAATGACAAGTTAATAGCAGTGTTAAAATCTCAGAGGGAAGAATGTCAGGCTGTCCATCACTTAGGCCAGCAAGGCAGCCAGGAAATACCTAAGGAGTAGAGCCCACCTGACACTTCCCAGCTCTGGCCTGCAGGGGGCGCTTGCTTGCCCCGGCCTTTACTTTCTTACCAGGGAAACTACCAGATTGGATCACCCTTATCAGCCTTTCTATACCACCCATAGGGATGCTGACTCTCCTAGAAGTCTTGGAAGCCAAACACTTCAGATCCTTACCTCTGGCAAGGTCATAGCTATCTTCCTTTAGACAGAGCTGGTGGCCAGACAGAGCACGCTTCACTGAGTCTCTGCAAACTCAACACTCCAACATCAAGGGTTTCATCAAATAGTTTCAGAGCTACAGGCTACCATTAAGCTGAGCAAGTTTGGTGAGGTGAAGGGCTCAGAGAAGGCAGACTTAACCAGAAAGTGGAAACTTGCCCCCCCCCCACCCCTGAATTCATCCTTAAATCCATGGAGCTCACCAATGCTGATTTTTTTTTCCAAAGAAAATCTCTAAGTGTCTTTGAGTCTTTATACGTCTAAGAGTCTTTGGTCACACTTCCAAATTCTCCAGCCTCGAGTTGCTCTTTTCTTGCAGCCACACAGAAGCCTTCTCAGTTCCCCATGTGTTTCATCTACATACTAGTCAGTGTCCCCTAGGAGAACAGGACCAGAGGGATGAGTGGACTATTAAGTCAGCTTATGTCAAGATAGTAACATCTGAAACATACCTGATAAGCTGAGAACCCCGTGGTTACTTGCTCCTTGAGGCTGAGAGCTTCGGCAGTCAGAGAAGTCCAACAGTTGTCTTACTGAGGAAGCCAACCACCCTGTGGCTGTTCAGTCTGTGAAGTTGGGGGGCCTCAGTCGTCCCCCCAATCTGGAGCCAAAAAACTGAATGTTTCCTGGAGAGCTGCTAGTCCTTAGTCCACAACTGAAGCATGAAAACAGTAGTTCTGATGTCAGCCAAAGAAAAAGCAGCAGCAACAACTACATCAACTTGGCCACAGAAGGGAAGGTCCAATGTCCAAAGGCCCCTTTTATCTGGGCTGCTACCACCGAGTGCTTCCCACTCTTTGGGAGGGGTTGGGTCCTCCTGCCTCAGTTAAGGCCATCAGGACAGACATGAGGGGTTGGGTCTTCCTGCACCAGTTAAGGCCATCAGGACAGACATGAGGGGTTGGGTCTTCCTGCACCAGTGAAGGCCATCAGGACAGACATGAGGGGTTGGGTCTTCCTGCACCAGTTAAG